CAAGGCTGATGTCCTTGCGAGAGCATATCCATCGTGTCTTCGCACAGGTGTACCGATTGCGGCATGTCAGCTAGTGGTACTCCAACCAAGACAGAAATATTGAAAGGCATGAAAGAGATGAGGGTTGAAGTGCGAGATGCCATCAAGGAGGAGATGAAGGTAATCGAGGAGAAGATGGATGAGAAGATGAAGGTAATGGAGGGGAAGATGGATGAGAAGATGAAGGTAATGGAGGGGAAGATGGATGAGAAGATGAAGGTAATCGAGGAGAAGATGAAAGAACTGGACCACAAGTTTGACGATTTCAAAACTGTGATCAGGGACGAACTGCGAACGAATTTAGGTTTTGTTGCTGGATGGATGAGGGATGTACGAGGTCCCAGTGGAGGGCAGGTTACATCTGGAAGCATGGACTTCACAGATGCTTTCCGCATCGTCATGCAACAGGTTGCCAATATAGGACAACAGGTGCAGCAGATGGGCAATATAGGGGAGCAGGTGCAGGCCGCCGTGGGTGAAGCTATGCGACAGATGGTACTGGGTGGAGCAGGCCATGTCATGATGGCACATGGGGTGAGCAACGTGATGGCAGATGCTGACTCGAATGGAAGATTGAATGAGAGTGAATCGGAGGAAGGTGCAGAAGTGAGCAGGGAGGGGACACCGGAGAGGAATGCGGTGCTGGTTTCATCACCAGGACTGGGGGATGATGGCAACGGTGAGATACAAGTTGGAGGGGATGACTTCGAATGGGAAGGATGGGGGCCTGGCAGACACATGGTCCCGTTGGCTTGGCGATTTCCTTTGCGGTGCAGAGTTCGAAATATGTTCATGTGGTGGAATTTGGGGCAAGATGTCATCGTGGAAGGACAAGTGAGGAGGATTCGGCCCTTAAAGCACCTCAGTCAGGTTCCTTTCTCCGCAGACGTGAAGGATGAGAACACGAGGAAGAATGTATACAAAGCATATCTTGTGATGACCATGGTGGAAAATATATGCCGAGAGCAAGGAGTACTGCAAGGAAATGAGGGGATTATGCCTCACAACTTCTGTCAGTGTTACAGAACAGGTTTCCGTACGCTAGTGGAAAGGGCGTACGGAGATGATGCATGGACGGCGATGGCACAGAGAAAGAGGTACTCGCAATACTCATACATCACATACTACAAGCACTTGGTGGAATATCGCCAGCAGGTTCGTATTGAGATGTCACTGGCAGTTGAAGACCATCAGGTAGAGGCGAATAGAAATAGTGAGAGTGGACAAAGGACGTATGCAGACATTCTCCAGAGCACGTAGTGTAGAGAATTTACAGTTCGTTCCTGAATGAAATCATTGTTGAGTTGATACATCTGTGTTAAGCCCTCATGTGGAAATGGAATGTTGGAAAGAATGAGTCTCGCTACGATGCCAAAGCGATGGTAGGTTGTGATATACTCAAGGGTACTTTTTGGGATGATGATGACAATGAGAGCAACAGACAATGCAGTTGATCAGGTATCATACTGCACTGCAAATCAAGGGGATGGTGGATAATGTGACAGGGAAGGGATGCCGGAGTATGCTTTGTTGGAGTTGAGGTTGTGAGATGCCGTGGCATCAGCTGCCATCTGGCATGTTGGTGATGGATGGTGATGGAGGAGACATTCGCATGAATCACTGTCTTGATGACAAGCTAAACATGATCTGTGGAGTGCATATTGTCATGTACGGCATTATGGATTTTCATGCACTGATGCCAAGCTGGATTCAGGGTCAGTTATGTTCCAAAAGGAACGTTGCGTGTCAACCATATTCCACAGTAATGCATATCGTCAGGTGTTACAGGTTCATGATCATGGGGGCAAATGAGGTACAGATTCATGATCATGGGGGCGAATGAGGGGTGAAATGGAGTTTGAAGCTCAGGGGTTTATCATGATTGGAGAGATGTTACTTCTTTGGCATTGACCACATCTAGATGCTGCATATTGATGAGTGATGACAACGTGATGACAACGTTCCCACCACCATCAGTGAATTGTCTGCACACTGGAGTGCAAGGCTGTGACGGTTCAGTGCAAGTCCGAGACGGGACAGTCAAACCATGAGCAAAGCCAGCATGTGCGACTTGAGCACTATCGGACTTCAAAGGCAAGTCAACCTTGAATTTGAGCTGTCGTCTTGATACTTGGAGGGAAGATCGGGAGCCTGGATTCAGGGGTCATGTGATGGGTGAGGAGGTGTTCCGACGCCCACAAGTACCTGACCAAGGCGAATGCGCAACCGCAACGATCCGCCATGAAAGCAACGCCGAAATGGCTAAGTGTGAAAGACCTGGTACAAATTTGTACCAGGCATGTGTACCATGATTGTCGTGGAACTTGAGTGGAATCTCTGGATATCCGGTACAGTCCTTTTGTACCAGTAAATACGTCCTACAACAGTAATAAAATGCGCCTCTTTTTTTTTCGTGAAGTATAACCCTTTTTAAGTTAGCGCCCTTATGAGCTCAATGCTTTTTTTTGTAAGTTAGCAGCTGGGCTGGTAAAAAAGTGAGTGATGGCGAGGGGGTGGGTTATAGATGAGATGTTGTGAATCGGTGAATCGGTGGGGTGGCTTATTTGTACTCATCACCGGTATTTCATACTACATAATGATGGGTGGGGTATGCATGAAGGGACACAGTCAGTCACCACAGCAAGGGTGGGGTCAGGTTTGCAGGGGGTAGAGTCTAGAAGGGTGGGTCTGGAAGACTCGAGTAGAGACTTTCACAATGCATGCTGCATCGTTCTCTTTCAAAGCGCTCCTCCTCCTCCTCCTCCTCCTCCCTCTCCTATGCTCTAGCACAGCAAACAGCGTAAGAAACGTTGATGTCCATGGGCTGTTCCTCTGACATTCCCCTGATGCCAGAAAAATGATGCCCAGAATGAGCCCGGCGGTCGCAGGTTCGCTAGCACCTTGCCCGAGTCCTCCATTCGATCTTGACCTGTTGGCCTGCAGATTGCAGCAGTATGACGCATACTCCTCCTCTTCATCTGTTCTCGCAACTACTACAGCACAATCTCTCTTTCCATCAACCACACCCTCACCATCAGCGCCGTCCGCATCTCCAGCTGGAGATAGGAACGTCTGTGGAGATGGCTTCCTAAGTCCAACTGAGCTGTGTGACGACGGGAACACAAGGAATGGAGACGGGTGCTCAAGTGACTGCCTATCCATCGAACGAGATCATCTCTGCTCCTCCTCTGTTCAGGGCATCAAGCTCAACATGGCAAATAGCATTTACAGCGCATGCTCTCTTTGTATGGACAAACCTTATTCCGACACCGTTACAGAAGATGATTTGACAAGGTGCGCATACTGGCCGAATCTTGTGCTTGCAGCTGCAAACACCGCACGTGGCAACCAAGTCATCCTGTCAGCAATGATCCCCACAAGCGCGCTGATGTCGTACATCAACACCTGGACAGCGACAGAGGTCGTGCCAGGAACTTTCTTCTACAATCATCCCACATACAGTGTTGGTTTCTCTCCAACTGCGGGCATACATCTTAATCCATACGATGATAGTGCGCAGAACTGCTCCGAAAGATTGAGCTGGCCCATCGGTCAACCGGGAGGAAGGGCGGGATGCGCTGGCGAGCTAGACATGTTTTCATTGCACAAGCAAGTGTTCGCCTGCCCTGCGACTTGGCTGTGCCCAGAAAAGTCAGCGTGTACCATCGACGTATCCTGGGATACGATCTTGGAGGAAAAGGGGACATTCTCTATCGGCGGTCTGGGAGCGGAGATGATCATTGGGAAGGAGGAGGTGTGGGTTTGCGACAAGGCAAACGCGTGCTCGCCGAACCATATGAACGCTCTCTGCTTCAAGTACCAGGAGAGGAACCGAACTTTTAACTCTTGGGGGTTCCAGTCTGATCTCGGGTTGTAACTGCACATGATATCAGCAGGAAACTTGGCAGAAACTACAACAACTTTTCTTGGTTCACAGGCACGATTCATCTGGGAATTGTATACATTCACAACATCACAACTGTAAACCATTGCTCCTCTATGTTATTGACATGTCGCTACAAAATTCTATACCTCCTGTGGCAATCATTGAATGTGGGCCACTCCGGACTCCGGACTGAGTGTTGTACACACGTGACACCGGAT